AGGAAGAGGTTTATTTGGGAAGGAGGAGTCCGGAGAGTAGCTGCCTCTACCAGCGTGGAGAGAACAGCCTTCCTTTCTAGCTGACAAGGCAGGCGGTTTTTACAGGAAGTCTAGGGGGTGGAGTCAACCCTGGCCCAGGGTTCTAATATCCTGCTCTGTGATTGGTTGGTTTCACAAGTCAGTTGGACAGGGGCAGAGATGGCTCTGATTTGAGCTAAACTGCGTTTCTCACACTGGCCTTATCTGAGCCATCCTTCCCTAATTCTGGGCTCCAGGGTTAGGGTGGGTTTCTTTAGCCAGCCCCTTTTCCCTACAGTGAGCATGCTGAAAGGGGAGTCGCAGGTCACTGTGATGATATTACAGTGATTAATATTACTGGAAATGTCAAATGTCAAATACCTAGAAAAATCAGAGGAGATTTTTACACAGGAGTTATCTGAAGATAAGGGGAAGCTTTGCAATGGGAAAGGAGGCATTGCCGTGGGACACTGCTCTCTGATCCTGAGCTCTGGGCCTCTCAGCTTGGGGAGGGAGTTTTGAGATGTGATGGAGACTGGAAAAGTCGTTCTGAGACGATAAGCAACTGACTTTTGAGGTCATAGAGTACAGGCTCCCTGCACAGGGCAGGGCATTCCTAGGGTCTCTCTCCTGCATCAGGTATGTCAAGCTTTAGGCCTGGAAAACAGTAGTGATTTCAGAGTTCAGATCACAGCCCTGTGCAGGAACATGAGGGAAATCCACCTAGGAGAAGTGAAACACAGAGATACACTGGAACTGTAGGTGGGGCAGAGTCTGACCTTAAAGTCTAGTTGAGACATCAAGTCTAACCCAGATGCGCAGCTACCAGAAGTTTACTTCAAAGTACAGCTGCATCTGTGAGACTGACTCATCTGCAAGTGTTGGTGAACCAGAAATACATACCTAAACACATACATACCACATTGAGTCAACTTTCCTTAGTTCTCTAAGATGGATCACAATTTGTCTGTGGGTTTCCTAAACCGAATTGACAAATACAGCTAATGCTACCATCTTTTATTACATTTTCAAAGCCCATACCATTCTAACATTTCTGACAATTGTAGTTCAGTAAGTGAGTTTGGGACTTCCAGGGGTTGTTGCTTGTATGTATTTAAATTTTTTCCATTTTTATGTGTATGTTTTGCCTGCATGGATGATTGTATACCATGTGTGTGCAGTGTGAAAAGAGGCTAGACGAGTTGGCAGGTCCTTTGGAACTGGAGTCAAAAGATAGTTGTACCCAGTGTGGGTGCTGGGAATCAAACCCTGGGCCTCTGGGATAGCAGGCAGTGCTCTTAACCACTGACACATCTCTCCAGCTCCCTTTCTCTATTTTTTATTCTCTTGAAAAATTCATTATTCAAAGTCTTTATCTCAGTCGGGTCTAACTAAAATGTAGATATTGAAATGTCCACTTTGAGCCTCATGGTGGAATATTTAAATTTCCGTACTTTCAAATGCTAATTCTGGAAATTAAGGCTGAGGGGAGGAAAAACCTCTGCTGTAGGTTTACAAAACATGATTACAAAACAAATTATATGTAAGCTGATTATGTTAATCTATCACACATAATTTAGAACCAGTTAAATCTATACTGTGTTATAAAAGAAGGTATTTTGAACTTCTTAAACACCTGTTAAAAGGAGCCAGGGAGCTAGTACAGCCAATAAAGGCACCTGCTGCCTTACCTGACAGCCTGAGTTGAATCCCTTGGACCCACCTGGCAGAAAGGTAGAACCAACTCCTGCAAGCTGTCTTATGAACTCCACATGTGTACATTCCTTTTGCATATTAAATGTGGCAAAATATTAAAATGCTTTGAATAGTACAAATATATGTATATACACACACACACACAGACACACACACAGACAGACAGACAGACACACACACACACACATATATATATATATATATATATATATATATATATATATATATATATACCCACAAACTAGGTTTCATTATGGAATTTTCATAAACTTATTTTTAATTTTATAGGAAATCACAAATAAGAAACTTTGAATTTTTAAAGAGATCTTGGATTGTTAATGTACTGAAAAATTAAAGGCTGTGGTATTTTTAAAGTCATATTCTTTTATACTGTGATATTCACATGAGCTATTGGGGATCAACAAGGAAAGGGTGTAGTTTAGTAGTTACGTTTGTGTGGCAAGTTGACAGGATCAACTGCACTGGTTAGTTTTTTGTCAACTTGACACAAACAAGTCCTGAAGGAAGAGAAAACCATAGATGAAGAACTGTCTCCATCAGACTGACCTGTAGGCAAGTCTCTGGGGCATTTTCTTGATTAATGGCTGATGAGGTAGGGCCCAGTCCAGTGTGGACAGTGCCCCCTGGGCAACTGGTCCTGGGTTGTATAAAACAGGTAGCTCAGCAAGTCACAGAAAGCCACTAAGCACCTTTTCTGCCCCTGCTCCTGTTCAAGTTCCTGCCCCGACTTCCCCAGTGATGGACTGAGATTGGGACATGTAAGTCAAACATACCTTTTCCTCCCTCAGTTGCTTTTGGACAGTTTTTATCACAGCCATGTAGTGGCAACATAGTACACTCCCGTAGGTTATTTTTCAAATCTATTGAAAACAAAGTATCGAGAGAACTTTCTTGTACTAGGAATTTCCAAGAATATCCTTCACATTGTCAATATGACAATAATGAGTTCCAAATTCTCTCTTTATTGTAGGGTCTAGTTTTCACCTCAGGGTGCAGTGTCTCTGATAGAAACATGGCACCCAAGGAAGGATGGAGGAAAGCGAGAAAATATGCCAATATTGATCCAGTTGCATCTTCCACAGTATTCTGCCACTGTTAACACACTGGTCAGACTGTACTTCTGAGAGCACGAGATCCCAGCTTATCCAGAGACTATATAGTAAGAGCCATATGGATAAAACGAAGAGAAAGTTCAAAGAAACAGGTAGATCTAATTTTAATATTTTATTTAACACAAAGTGCCAAAAACTCCACAATTTTTAACTTGGAAACAATGTAAGTAAATCGCTCATTACACTGGCATATTAGTAGGTCTTTGAAATTTTCTGCATTATATGATGATATAAGCATTATGGAAAATATAAACAAATTTGAAATGTATCACAAAAGAAATATGACACATTAATTTCAATATATTTTAACATGTTTTTTCTTACTAACTTGGAAATACAATGTTACCACCAAAAAATTAATAAAAAAACAAATGTTAACTGTCTTGTCAGTTTTCCTATTATAATAATGACTGTAAAATATAATTTGATATATTTACCAGTATCGCCACTAAAATCAAAATTAAAATACTTTTATCTGTGGTCAGAATAAAACAGATTATGACCTCACTTAATAAAGAAAACAATATAAATTTTTAGGCATTGCTTTTACTAATTTATTTCAGTACAAAAACATTATGTGTAAATGACTACTTATCGTCTACTCTATTTTTAGTCAGTCAGTGAAATGTAGTCATTTTGGCATTTCAACATGTGGACAGAACAAATCCTAATTTTATATCTTTACCATGTCTTTGCGATGCAGCATACTGTTTCAAGAAATTAACAATACAAGTAAGAACTTTTTATGTGTCCATGTTCATATGTGGGAGGAGGTGCATGCACTTCCTTGTCTCTGTGTGTGCACATGCTCACATGCATGCCAAAATTCAGTATCTGGCATTTTATTCTACACATATTTTCTGAGGCAGGATCTCTCACTGAACCTCGAATTCCTAATTTGCTAGAATGTCCGGCCATATGGCCACAAGGCTCTTCCTTCCTCCACCTTTTCACACTGGGGTGACAAGTGTGCACTTGGATGCTCAGCTTTTTACACAAACGCTAGGTTCAGATCTGAGCACAGGTGGGCTTGTGTGGTAAGCAACTGGAAGACTGAGGCATTCCTTAGCCCTGTGCAAATTATTAACTATAGGCTTTATACACATCATTTCTAACTATGTCTAGGATATGCAAACTGAATTTATAATTATGTTATGTTCTGGAATATAAAATAAGTTGGACTCAGTACTCACCCATGGCTAGTATGTATCATACCAAATGGGGCACAGCTAATGGAAAAAGAATCAAAATATATATAGGGAATGATTTATACAGCTAAGGAAATGAAAGGATTAACAGAATTGGGAGTAGAGTAAGAGAACTAAAGGAAGGAGGGGGAATATTATGGGAAGGACCCTAAATCCCACCTAAAAATTCATGTGACAAAGGCTGGAGAGCCAGCTGAGGACTTCATGGGAAGTAGTGGAAACTTTAG